TCCTCGCGGCCGTCTACCAGAGCCTCAAATCGCCCATGGGCGTCGCCGTGTCGCCGGAGGAGAACCTCCTCTTCTTCATCGACGACACCGGCGTCTACCGCGGCGACCTCGAGGGCTCCAGCGACAAGACCTTCGTCGCGGAGATCCAGGACGCGCGCTTCTGCGCGGTCCTCTCCGAGTCCGCGCCGACGCCCGCGCCGACGCCCGTGCCGACGAGCCGCCCGTCGCTCGAGCCCACGTCGGCGCCGTCCTTCCCGCCGACGCCCGTGCCCGTGCCGTCGCCGACGTCGGCGCCGTCGCCGCAGCCCACGCCGGAGCCGTCGTTCATGCCCACGTCGGAGCCGACGTTCCTGCCGACGACCTACCCGTCGTTCGCGCCGTCGTCGGCGCCGACCACGTCGCCGACGCCCCTGCCGACGCGCCACCCGTCGCCGGCCCCGACGGGCGCGCCGTCCTACGCGCCGTCGCCCAACCCGACGCTCGTGCCCGTGCCCGAGCCCACGGCCGTGCCGACGAGCCTGCCGACGCCGCAGTGCTGGCTCGAGATGAACAAGTGCGGCTACTGCGACGGCTCCGCGGGCTGGGAGTGCGTCGGCGAGGCGCCGCCGACGTTCAAGCCGACGCCCGCGCCCATCACGCCGACGGGCAAGCCCTCGGAGAGGCCCGTGCCGTCGCCGACGGCGGGGCCCGAGCCGGCGCCGACGGCGTCGCCCGTCGCCGCGGCGAAGTTCGTGGCGCCGACCTCGGCGCCCTTCGCGACCATCTCCTTCGCCGGCGCGCCGTCGGCCGCGCCCGTCGCGCCGACGGCGTCGCCCCTCGCGCCGACGTCCGGGCCGACGCGCGACCTCGTGCAGTACCCGACGGTCGGCGCGCCCGGCGCGCCGACCGCGACCTACGGCACGGACCCGCCGACGCTCATGCCGCTCCCCGACGAGCAGCCGCCGCCGCACGCGAACCAGACGCACCACCAGAACCGGACGTCCTACCCGACGCTCCAGGGGTCGTCGTACGCGGCGCCGACGTTCCCGGGCTTCGCGCCGACGCGCCCGCTCCACACGGGCGCGCCGACGCTCATGCCGCTGCCCCCCGGGCCGCCGCCGCCCCACGCGAACAAGACGCACCACCAGACGCGCACGTCCCACCCGACGTCCGAGCCGACGCATACGGCCGCGCCGTCGTTCGCGTTCGGCTTCTCCGAGTACTGCTCGACGGGCGACGACGACGACACGGAGGTCACGGAGCAGGTCGAGCAGGACGGCAAGAGCGACTGCGTCGACATCTACGAGCGGACGTCCATCCGGACCATCGCCTACCAGGCGCCTTCGATGATCATGAACCCCGCCAGGGCGGGCTGGGTCGAGTTCGACTTCTGGGTCACGTCGAACCAGTGCGTCTTCGTCTACCTCTTCGACACGAACGACGGCGTCAAGGCGTCCTGGTGCGACGACACCGCCTGGGCCGCGAGCGGCGGGTCGAACCTCGACGACGACGAGGACGGCGTCATGCTCCTCTACGACCGGCCCCTCAGCACGGCCTGCGAGTGGTCCGACGAGTCCTGGTACAAGGAGTCCTACTTCGCCTACACGCAGGAGGCCTGGAACACGTACCGCGTGCGCTGGGACCCGGACGACTGCGACGGCAAGGGCGGCGTCTACACGACGGGCACCGACGCGAACGGCAACGTCAACAAGCTCGACTTCTGCTACAGCGACGACGACGACGCGGGCTCGCTGAGCGACCTGAGCCCGGCGAGCCTCAAGGCGGGCCTGCAGCTCCAGACCGGCGACAACTACTTCGCCAACCTCCGCTACTCGAACTAGCGCCCCGCGCGCTCGAGACCCCGCCCCCCCCTTATTATCTATGCCGTTATGATCGGGCACGCGCGCGCGCGGGCGTGGGCGCTCAGAAGAGGTCGCTGTCGTCGTCGGGGACGTCGTCGAAGAGGGCGCTCGGCTTGGGCGCCTTGGCCGTGGACCGGCGCTGGGGCGCGGCGGACGGCGGCCGCGCGCGGGGCTGGGGCTCCGAGCGCCCCCGGGGCCGGGCCGGCGACGTCGACGGGACGGGCCGCGTCGAGAGCTCCTCGGGGTAGTTGTCGTCGTCGTCGTCGCCGTCGCCGTCGTCGCCGGGCGGCGGCGGGTCCGCGGCGGCGTCGTCCGCGGGCAGGCGCGCCGTCGACACGAGCTCGAGGAGGTCGTCGAGGTCGCGGTCGTACTCGAGGACGTCGACGTGGGGCGCGCCGCCGCCGCATGTCGCGGCGCCCGGCGCCCGGGGCCCGTCGGCCCTGGCCCACGCGGCGCGGGCCTCGCCGAGCGCGCCGTCGACCTTGGTCGTCTCCCAGGTCTTGAAGGCCTCGGGCATGTCGACGTAGGTCTCGAGGAGCGCGACGGCGTCGTTGTGCTGCGCGGCGACCTGCTCCTTGGCGCGGCTGTAGAGCCGGTCGTAGACGTCGGCCTCGTCGCGGCGCGTCGCGTAGGTCTTGGCGCGCGCGGAGATCGTCGGCGCGAAGGTCTCGTGCTCGTGGCCGGGGTCCGCCGCGGAGCCCGTGCCGCCCTTCTTCACGGACGACGAGTTGAGGTGGGCCGTCGCCGCCGTCTGCTTCGACGCCGGGTCGACCGTGAGCTTGCCCTCGGCCTTGAGCTTGGCCGTGATGCGCATGGACTTCTTGTTGAGCGTCGGCGCGAACGTGAGGTCGCGCGTCTCCGCGTCGTCGACGAGCTGCTTGCGCTGGAGGCGGCGCACCTTGGCCTCGTCGGCGTAGCTCTGCAGGTCCGCCGTCGTGCGCCGGGACCCGTGGCTCTGGCGGAGGTACGCGGTCGACTTGGCGGCCGCGGCGAGCCGCGGCGCGAACGTGCAGTCGCGGAGCTCCTCGGACCGCTCGCGCTCCCGGAGCTTGGCGATGCGCGCCTCGAAGCGCTTGCGCATGCCGTCCTGCATGTCGACCATGGTCGTGTTCTTGCGCTTCGCGTTCTCGAGGCGCAGGGACCGCGCGCAGAGCGCGGGCTCGAACTTGAGGTCCTTGAGCTCGCCCGCGAGGTTCGCGTTCTGCTTCGAGTTGACGCTCGCCTCCCGCGCCTTGTTCGACGCGTAGAGCCGCGCGACGAGGCCGTCCCAGTCCTTGGGCGCGAACTTCTTGGAGGGCGGGGAAGCCGCGGGGCCCGGGTGCTTGGCGCGCCAGACCTCGTAGGGCGTCGGGCCGCTCCTCAGGCTCACGGTGACGGTCGGCGACCCGCCGCCGCCGCCGCCCCGGGGCGACCCGCCGGACCCCTTGCCGTTCCCGAGGACGCTGCCGTCGTCGTCGCCCCAGTCGCGCAGCGACACGCTCAGCCGCTTCATGACCTCGGGCGTGCTCACCTTGGGGCCGCCCTCGGGGGCGCCGGCCCCCAGAGTCTCGAACTCCTCGTCCTCCGTCGGGAAGCTGCTCTTGGCCAGCACGCGCGCGAGCTGGTCCACGATCTCGTCCTCGCCGCGGAGCTCGTCCGTCGCGGCGACCATGGCTGCGACGACAGGCTCTCAGACGTTCCTGCGGCCGCGGGCGCGCTCAGCGCCGCGGGCTGCCCCAAGATACAGGCTGAAGGTGCTGTGCTCGCTAAAACTTTCGAGCAGCGGCGCGGCGCCATCCATCGTCGTCGAGTGGCAGAAGGCGTCTTGCCGCGCCGCACCGGTTCTGCGCAGCCGCAAAAAGCACGTCGCACGAAGCGCGCGGCCTCAAACGACGCGACAGCAGCAGAAAAACCGAGCGCGTGCGCGCACCTCGCAACACGAAACAGCAGCAGGACGGCGCCATGACGGAGCTCGCGGGGCGCCTCACGGTGTCGAACCCCGTGCCGCAGCTGCCGCCCGGCGCGTCGTCGCCGCGCGACAACGCCGCGCTGCTCCACGTGGCGCCGAACAAGAGCAAGTACAGCACGCCCTCGGACAAGATCGTGCTCATCCTCGTCGGCCTGCCCGCGCGCGGCAAGACGTTCGTCGCGCGCAAGGTGCACCGCTACCTCGAGTTCTTCCACGCGGTCAACGTGCGGCTCTTCAACATCGGCAACTACCGGCGCAAGCTCCTCGGGGACCACCACCCGGCGGAGTGGTTCGACCCGAAGAACGAGACGGGCGCGCGCGAGCGCAAGCTCGCGACGGACGCGGCGCTCGGCGACCTCAGCGCGTGGCTCGCGGAGGAGAACGACGGCCGCGTCGCCATCCTCGACGGGACCCACTCGACGCTGGCCAAGCGCAACTACGCCTACGACAAACTGCGCAAGCTCGACTGCAAGGTCATCTTCCTCGAGTCCATCTGCTCGGACCGCGACGTCGTCGAGCGCAACATCGTCTCCTGCAAGCTCGGCACGCCGGACTACGTGGGCATGTCCGAGCGCGACGCCGTCGAGGACTTCCGGCGGCGCGTCGCCCAGTACGAGTCCAACTACGAGACCATCGACGCGGACTGCCTCGACGGCGCCGAGAGCAACCGGAGCTGGATCAAGATCATCGACTGCCGCCGCTTCGTCATCAACAACATCCGGGGCTACATGCCCGGCCGCCTCGTCCAGTTCCTCAGCCACCTCCACATGGAGCCCCACGTCTTCTACTTCAGCCGCCACGGCCAGTCGGAGTACAACGTGCTCGGCAAGATCGGCGGCGACAGCGGCCTCTCGGCCGCGGGCGACGCCTACGCGAAGAAGCTCGCGGAGTTCTGCGTCTCCGAGGTCACGAAGGCGCCCGACGGCTCCGAGCGGCCCGCGCGCCTCTGGACGTCGACCATGCGGCGCACGCGCGAGACGGCGGCCTACATCGCCCACGAGAAGACGCACATCGACTACGAGGGCGACGACGTCGGCCACGCGCAGGAGTGGGTCCAGCTCCGGATCCCTCGCGTGGTCGAACCTGGACGAGATCTTCGCGGGCGTCTGCGACGGCATGACCTACGCGGAGATCGAGGAGCACTACCCCGAGGAGTTCAAGCGGCGCCAGGACGACAAGCTCGCCTACCGCTACCCGCGCGGCGAGTCGTACCTCGACATGATCCACCGCCTCGACACGATGGTCCACGAGATGGAGCGCCACCGCGAGCCGCTCCTCATCGTCGCGCACCAGGGCATCCTCCGCCTCCTCTACGCCTACCTCATGGGCCTCTCCCGCGAGGAGGCGCCCTACGTCTCCATCCCCCTGAACACGGTCATCCGCCTCCAGCCCAAGACCTACAGCTGCGACGAGGAGCGCTTCCTCCTCATCGCCAAGCCCAAGAAGAGCGACGGCCAGGACGAGCCCGCGGTCGCGCGCGACGACGACCCGCCCTCCCACTGATCCGGCGAAGTAACGCGCATGGAAATCATTTCTCGCCCTTGAACTTCAAGTTGAAGCATACGATGTAGGCGTTTCGAGGAGAATTGAGAGCATGGCTCGTTAAAGTATATGGGCTCTCCCGCGCTCGCCGGCGCCCTGGTCGCCGCCGTCGTGCTCGCCGGCGCCGGCCTCTGGGCCGGCATCTCCATCTCCTGCGAGGAAAAGTACGAGGACGAGGTAAAATGAACTTTCCATCCTTGAGTTCTCCATGTTCTTTTATGACATCATAGTGCGAGAGCTTCGACGCCGGCTTCCCGACGATCTCCATGCTCATGCACCACCCGGACGCGCGGCGGGCCATGCGCGGCTGCTTCGCGACGTCGAGCGTGCTCAACCTCGCGAGCGACCTCGGCCTGGCGGACGCGCTGGCCGGCGGGCGCCTGAGCGGCGCGGGCGCCGCGTGCACCGTCCTGTCGGCGGTCGCCGCCGTCGGCAGCTTCCTCGCGCTCCTCATCTGCATCGGCACGAACCCGCGCGGGGCCCCGCACATCACGGCCTGCGTGACGTGGGCGTTCCTGCGCATCGTCTGGGGCTGCCTCCTCCTCCGCGCGCTCGTCGACGCGACGCGCGGCAGCGCGTTCACGATGGTCCGCGTGCTCGCGGGCGGCGCGCTCCAGCGTCCTGTGGCCGTCACGACTTTCGAGAGATTTGGGGTGGGAAAACAACGAGAATTCGTTACCGTCATGCTTGGTAGGCGCGCTCGCGTTCCTGGGCTTCCGCCTCGCCGTCGCCGCGCCGAGCGGCGACATGCCCGGCCACCTCGAGCTCGCCGCCGTCCTGGGCATGCTCGGCTTCGAGCTCACGCTCCTCCCGGAGGCCGCGGGGTGCCAAAGCGACGGCCGCGTCGGCGCCGTAACGTGAGCCCCCCCTAGCGGCCGCGCGGGCGGGAGACGCGGCCGCCCCGCGTCACGGTCGGCGGCTCGCCGTCGTCGTCGTCGTCGTCGTCGTCGTCGTCGTGGGCCGGCGGGAGCTCCTTGGCGAGGACCTTGCCCTTGGCCTTGGCGGCCATCTTCGGCGCGGCCTTCTTCGACGCCTGCTTGCCCTTGGGCGCCTTCTTCGCCGCGGCGGGCGCCTTGGCCGGCGGCGGCTCGGCGGTGTCGTCGTGGGCCGGCGGCGGCGGCGGCTGCTTCTTGGCCTTTTTCGCCGGGGGCCGGTCCGCGTGCGCGGGCGCCTTGCGCTTCGGCTCGTCGGCGTCGAGGGGCCCCTCGCCGGGCGGGGGGGCGTCGACGTCGACGGTCGACAGCGTCAGCGACGCGCCCGTGGGCCGCGGCGGCTTGCGGCGCTTCGCGCGCGGCGCCTCGCCCGGCGGCAGCGCCGCGTCGCCGACGTACGCGAGCACGCAGCCCGCCCTCGCGTCGGCCCCGTCGTCGTCGTCGAGGGCGTCGCCGCCGTCGCCGCCGCCCGGCGCGCCCGCGTCGCCCAGGTCGTCGTCGACGAGGCCGTGGGCCGCGAGCGCGAGCGCGTCCGCGTCGTCGGCGTTCGGCCGCCGGACGAACCGGAGGTCGCCCGAGCCGCGCGCGGCCGCGAGGACCGCCGCCTCCGCGTCCCCGAAGGGCCCGCGCCAGCGCGCCGCGCGCTCGACGACGTCCCGGAGCTTCTCCCGCCGCTCGCCGTCGAGCGCGTCCCGCGCGGCCGCCGCGGCCGCGGCCGCGGCCGCCGCGTCGTCGTCCGCGGGCGGCGCCGCGGGCGCCGGCGCCGGCGCGTCGGCCGCCGCCGGCCGCGTCAGGGCCCGGAACTTGGCGTTGGCGCGCTCGACGTCGCCGTCGCCGCCGACGATGGCCATGCCGAACGGCGCGGTCTCGAAGACCCGCTCCCAGGAGATCTCCGCGGGCGGCATGGGCTCGTAGACCGGCCGGCGCCGGCCCGCCGCCGGCGGCCGGAGCTTGCCGCCGCCCCGGGCGAACTGGGCCTGGGCCGCGCCGCTCGCGCTCCGCTGCTGCTCCGCGGCGCGCGCGAGGTTCACCTGGCTCAGCATCGGCTGGAGCACGGACACCATGTGCTGCTGCTCGAGCTGGAGCCTAGGGGGGAGGCGACGCGTCGGCCGCGCGCGGGCGACGGGGCGGGCGCGGGGCGACGCGCTGCGCCTGGCGCGTCTGGAGCAGCCGCAGGTAGTGGTTCGCGTCCTGCTGGGCGGCCTCCGTCGGCTTGTCCGCGGCGTTCTCGTAGCCCGCGGCGGCGAGGAGGCTGCGCAGGTCGTTCATGTTCGCCCCGGGGATCGCGTTCGGTGAGGCGCGGGGCGCCGGCGGCGCGGGGTCCATTGCGCACGGGGCAGCTTTTTGAGTTTTTCGGGTTGAACATTTCATTGCACACTCAATAGCAGCCTAGCAGCCCCTGAGGAGGCTGGGCCCAGCAAATTCTGCGCGGGCCCGAAGTCGAGCTCTCGTCGTCGACGATGCGGGCCCTCGTCGTCGCGCTGCTCGCCGTGCCCGCCGCGCGCGCCGTCGTCTGCTCGAGCTACGACGGCGACCGCGTCGCCTGCTCGGGCTGCGTCTCCAGCGGCGAGTGCGTCTACGACGAGTCGAGCCAGCGCTGCGACACCGACGCCGACTCGAAGAACTGCGACGCGTCCATGCCCGGCATCACGAGCGTCGGCGACGATTACGGCGGGAGCGTGACCCTCGCCCCGAGCGCGTCGTGCCCCGAGGGCTGGACGGCCTACGGCGCGAAGTGCTTCTACGTGCCGGACGCGCCGAATTCCTGGCCAGAGTGCGTCGCGAACGAGTGCGCGCCGGGCTGGCTCGCCTGCGTCGACGACGAGGACATGAATGCCTTCATCTACGAGACCTTCATCAAGAACCGGGACCGGCGCCTCTGGATCGGGCTCAACGACGTCGACGTCGAAGGCGAGTTCGCCTTCTCCGCGGGCATGTGCGAGGGCACGTACTACCGGAACTGGGACGCGGGCGAGCCCAACGGCTGGGGGTCCACGGGCGAGGACTGCGTCATGATGACCCAGTACAACGCCGTCTGGAACGACGGCGACTGCCTCGCGACGACGAACTCGAATACGGACGTGCACTGCCTCTGCGAGAAGTGGGGCCACACGCCCGTGCCGACGGCGGCCTGCGGCATCTCGAGCATCGCCGTGACGTCCCCCGGCGCCGGCGCGGAGATCCGGGTCGGCGAGGACGTCGTCGTGACCTGGACGAGCGAGGACTGCGTCTCGGGCTTCGTGCACGTCGAGCTCTGCGCGTACGAGGCCGGCGGCGACGTGACCTGCGACGGCGCCGCCGTCGTCAACGCGGACCAGCCGACGACGTCCTACTTCTTCAACACGGGCAGCGCCACCGTGCGCGTCGAGGCGCTCCCCGCGTCGGGCGCGGGCGCGTACGCGTTCTCCGTCGCCGACGACGCCGCGCGCCACGTCGCCGCGAGCTCGCCCTACTTCACGCTCGTCGGCCCGGACCCGACGCCCGCGCCGTCGGCGGCGCCGACGCGCGCGCCGACGGCGCCGTCGCTCGAGATCACGAGCGTCGGCGTGATGGCGACGTGCGTCTCCGGCGTCGCGTGCGACGTCGCCTGGGCCTACCGCGGCGCCGCGGCGGCCTGCGCGACGCTCGACGTCGCCGTAACCGACGTCGCCGGGGCCGTCGTCGGCTCGACGACGACGCCGAACGACGGCTTCACGACGCGCGTCACGGCGGGCGACGCGGAGGTCAGCGACTACACGCTGACGCTGCGCTGCGCGGACGACGCCGCCGTGGCGGCCTCCTACGACTTCCGCGTGTCCTACACGCCCGCGCCGACCTTCTCGCCGACGGCCGCGCCGACGCGCGCGCCGTCGACCGCCGCGCCGTCGGCCGCGCCGTCGCGCGTCGCGGCCTCCAAGAAGAGCGATTCGGCGGACGCCGCGAGCGCGTCGGCGCTCATCGTCGTGCCCCTCCTCGGCCTGCTCCTCGTCGGCGGCGCCGGCGCGGCCTGGATCTACTCCAAGAAGCGCGAGCGCGCGCTCGCCGCCGAGGGCGCGCGCGCCGCGCAGGGCGACATCGAGTTCGCCACCGTCGCGACGCTCGTCGAGGACGACCGGGGTCCCGAGAAGGAGCGGTACCTGTAAAGGCGCGCGTTTTGGTGTGTCGAGACGACTGCGGACTTACCGAGGCCGGCGGCGCCAGCAACTTTGCGTCTTCGACACACGATCACGCGCGCATCGAGCGACACGATCTGCCAGAGAGCGCCGCTGCCAGAAGCCCCGAAGAAAGCATAAGCCCAGCCCCGAGGCGGATAATGTCCCAAACTATGACCACATACATCGAAAAAACCAAGACCCTAAAGACGAGCCTCAGCACCGTGAGCCTCGAGGGCGAGGCGAAGGTCGTCGTCGCGCGCGTGGAACAGTCGAAAACGTTCCTGGCCAAGTACCAGGCCTGCGGCGTCGCCGTCGCCCTCGCGCTGGCCGTCGCCGCGGCGTCGCACGCGAGATTCGACCTCCCCGGCGGCGCGCCCGGCCCGGCGCCGGCGCCGGCGACGACCGGCGCCGGCGAGTCGCCCGAGGCGCTGCTCCGCGCGGGCTTCTCGGAGACCGCGGGCTTCTTCGCGCAGTCCTGGTGGCTGCCCGGCGCCGCCGTCGTCATGCCGACGCCCCAAAAGGCGACGCCGCCGCCGCCCGCGCCGAAGCGCCGCCTCTGGCGCCGCCGCGGCGCCGCGGACTCCGTCGCGATCGCCGCGTTGAAGCAGTCGGACGCGCTCCTCCGCAAGGCCCGGGGCCGCGGCGCGAAGATGCCCGTGCACGGGGCCCAGTTCATGGACGCGATCGCGGCGCTCATGCCGGCCTTCCAGGTCTTCGGCTCCGCGATCCACGCGGCCGCGGCGAAGGACGTCCTAGGGAACGTCGAGAAGCTCCGCGCGAACGGCGCGCCCGGCATCCCCGTCCACCGGGGCGTCCTCGACGACGTCGCGCGGCGGAACGAGGGCCACCCGGACAGCACGACCCAGGCCTTTGTGTGGCTCAAGCGCATCCTCCGCTTCACGGCCGCGTTCTTCGACAATCTCGTGAAACGGCCGGACCTCGAGCTCAACGCGTGCCTCGTCAAGGCCTACGAGGTCCACCTCGGCCCGCACCACAACGTCATCATGCGCCAGATCGCCGTCGTCCTCATGCAGATCATCCCGGACCGCGCGTCCATGCTCGCGTGCTTCGACGTCGACGACATGGCCGCGCTCGAGCCCGTCCTCAACCGGTGGATCGACGGCGCGCTGCCGCTCATCGCCAAGATCGACCAATTTTACGAGATGAACGGGCTGAAGCGCTAAACTTTGGAGGTACTTTAGCGAGGTTTCGGCCGCACGGAGAACAGCCGGACGTCCGGCGGGCAGCCCGCGCGCGCGTCCTCGGGCAAAAAGTTCTCGACGACGTCGAAGCTCGCGAAGAGCGCCGCGAAGAACAGATCGTCGTGCGGGTTCCGGTGGCGGTGCGCGAGGAGGCACAGGGGCACGCCGCAGCCGTCCAGCAGCGCCGCGAGCGTTTTGAGCAGCGGCGCGTGCAGCTCCGGGTCGTAGACGACGTCCGACGCCAGCACGACGTCGAAGGGCCGGCCCGCGATCGCCGCGGGCAGCGGCTCGAACCAGTCCAGCGCCAGGGCGTCGACGTTCGGCGCGTCGTTGAGCGTCGCGTTCGCCTCGAGGAGCGGCACGACGTCCGGGACGTCGCTCAGCGCGACCGACGCCGCGTAGCGCGCGGCCCCGATGCCGACGGCGCCGACGCCCGAGCCGAGCTCGAGGCAGCGCTTCCCGGCCAGGCGTCCGTCGACGGCGCCGCAGCGCACGTAGGCGAGCAGCGCGAAACTCGCGTCCCAGAGCTTGCCGCCGATGCCCAGCGCGCCCGCGGCCTCGCTCACGACGACGCGGTCGCCCGGCCCGACGGCGACCTCGCGGCAGCACGTCGCGCCGACGGCGCCGAAGCGGTCTTCTTCCGTTTTCACGCTGCCGCCGACGCGCACGGGCAGCGACAGGACGGCGATGGGCGGCCGGAGCCACGCGCTCGCGTCGACGGCGACGCGGAGCACGACGTCGGCGCCGTCGTCGGCGTCGACGGTCACCGTCAGCGTCGCCTTCGCGTCCCGTCCGATAAATACATCATCAGGCGGCACGATGCCGCGGCCGTCGACGACGAGCTCGCACCGGTCCGTCGCCGCCGCCGACGCCCAGTCGCGCGGCCGCCAGAGGCCGAATTCGTTCGCGACGCGGACCTCGACGTCGAAGCGGTCGCCCCGCCGCACGCGCGCGGGGATCGGCGACGCGAAGAAGAGGCGCAGCGTCTGCGACTCGTGGACCATGCTCTGCCCCTCCGCCGCGGAGGCTTTGAGCTCCGCGGCGTCCTGGCGGACGGCGACGCGGCACCGCGCGGCCTGGGCCTCCGCGGCGGTCCGCTCCGCCGGCGTCGACGCCGCGGCGGCGGCGGCCGTCGCGTCCTCCAAAGCGTCCTCGTGGCGCTCGAGCTTGCCGCGCGCGAAGCACCGCTTGAGTAGTATTCGGCTCGCGACGGCGCGCCCGGCTTCGGCGAGCGCGAGCGTCAAATCCGCCTCGCAGGCCTCCCACTGCTCGAGCGCCGCGCGCGCGGCCGCGCGGTTCTTGTAGAGCGTCGCGCGGCGGCCCGGCGTTTGGAGTTTGAGGGCGGCGGTGAACGCATCGATCGCCGCGGCGTGGTCGCCGGCCTTGTAGAGCGCGACGGCCCGGGCGGCGCTGGCTTCGACGCTGTTTTCCCGTGCAACGTCGACCGGTGTGGCGCTGCGCTTTGCTTCGTTCGCCTTGCGGATGCGGCTCTTCTCGAGCGCTGCACGTTTGCGCGCGTCGATGTCGGTCGCGATCTCGCTCATCGGCTCGGAGAGTGCGTCAACATTTTTGTTGCCGCTGTGGTGCCGCAATCTTGCCGCATCGGTGCCGCGTCGAGCGCGTCAGTCGTCGTGCTGCGACAGCGCGTCGAAGCGCAGCCATGCTTAAAATCGCGCGCATCGCATCGATCGCTGCCGGCACTACACCGAACATGCTCAAAATCCTGCGCATCGCATCGATGGCAATCGCTGCATCGGCCTTGGTGCAGCGCCGGCAGCGATCGACCGCGCTGCATTCGAAGAAACCGCCGCCGGCGGAGCGCCCGGTCTACAAAAACGGCGACGAGGATTGGGTCGGCCGGCGGCGGCGGCGCATCAAGGACGACGTCGACGAAGCGCTGCAGAGGGACTGGCAACTCGGCAGCGATTCGACGGCGCGAGCGACGGACGCGCGCGGCTGGCTCGACGGCGACGGCGACGGCGGCGCCGCGCGCGACGCGTTCGAGGACGACGTCGACGACGATGGCGGTGACTACTTCGACGAGCCCGAGGAGGACGAGGACTACGAGGACGAGCTCGAGGCGGAGATGCGCGCGAGTCGATAACGGTTACGAAAATAGGACTAGAGGAACTGCGCGTCGTCGTCGTCGTCGTCGTCGTCGTCGGCCGCGGAGGGCGGCGCCGCGAGGATGCCCTCCTCCTCGTCCTCCTCGTCCGGGTTGTCCTTGTACTTGGACGACCCGCCGTTCTCCGCGCGGCTGAGCATCGCGTTCTCGACGCCCTCGTCGTCGTCGTCGCCGCCGCCGCCGTTGTCGGCCTGCTCGACGCGCCTGCGAGGGGGGGGGAGGGCGCTCTCGACGCGCGGTTTCGCCCGGCGCGACTCTGGCTCCGGGCGCGCGCGAGTACTTTTGCCTCGGCCGCGGCGGGCTCGAGCGGTCGACGAGCTCCGTCTCGCGGGGGCCGTCGGTCTCGTCCGGGCTGCCGCGGCAGGAGAAGAGGACGAGGAAGAAGAGGACGAGGCCGACGCCGGCGAGGCCGATGGCGAGGAGCGCCATCTTCGACTTGCGCGCGGACGCGGAGCGGTAGTCGTCGGCGTTCGCGTCGTCGTCGTCGTTCATCTTGATCGGGTGGAGGCGGTAGGACGGCCGCGGCGTGGGCCGCGGCGACGGCCGGCCCGAGGGTTTCGGCGTGGGGTCGTGGCTGTGGGACGGCGCCGGCGTCGGCCGCGGCGTCGGCCGCGGCGTCGGCTCGGGCGTCGGCGCCACCGTCGGCCCCGTCGACGGCCAGGGCGTCGCCGTCGGCGCGGGCGACGGCGCCGCGGACGGCCGCGGCGACGGCGCGGCCGTCGGCGGCAGGGACGGCGCCGGCGACAGCGACGGCGCCTCCGAGGGGGGCAGCGACGGCGCCGGCGTGGGCTTGTGCGACGGCGCGGTGCAGTTGGCGACGCCGTTCGCCGCGCAGCAGTCCGTGCAGTCCGTGCCCGCGAGGCAGTTGTAGTAGCCGTCGTAGTAGTACTCGTCGTCGTAGGCGACGAAGTTGTTGCACTCGCCGTCGAAGGCATAATCACAAGAATCGTCGCAGCGCTCGTTGTAGACGGGCTCCGCGCACGTCGCGCGCGCGACGCCGAGGCGCCGGTCGTCGACGTCGAACTGGACGTCGTGCCCCGCGAAGAGGGGCCCGCCGAGGACGCCGCCGCGGGGCTCGTCGAGAAAGATGCGCGGCAGGTACTCGCAGCGGCCCGTGCACGAGTAGTAGGTCTTCTCCATGTAGCTGATGGGCGCGATGGAGATGACCATCTCGCCCGCGCCGTCCTCCGCGCGGACGCGCACGTGGATGTAGGGGAAGGCCGCGAGGTCCTGGGGCGTCAGGTACACGGTGCCGTCCATGTCGTAGGCCCAGGTGTGGACGATCTGGGACCAGGCCGCGCGCCACGCGGACGCGCAGCCCGACGGCAGGTAGACGTCCGTCGTGCCCGAGTCGACGATCAACCCGTCGCCCGCGTTGTAGACGGACGCGGAGACCTGGAGGTTGACGGCGCTGTGGGCCGTGTAGGTCGGCGACGTCGACAGGGCGATGCCCAGCGTCTCGACGCCGTAGAAGCCCCGCGACGTGATCAGGAGCTTCGCGAACTCCATGGGCGCCGTGTGCTGCGACACCTCGGAGCCGCCCAACACGAACATGCCCGCGTAGGTGCGCGACTTCGACAGCGGGTCCGTCGGCGTGTAGCATATGGAGAAGGTCGCCTCCTCGAGCGCGCCCTGCTCCACGAGCGTGTTGATGAACGAGTTCGACTCGGACGTCATCCCTAAGATGCCGTCCGCGGTCTGCGTGACGAACATCTTGGTCTGGTGGTCGATGCAGCCAAAGACTAAGCGGATGTGGGGCAAATGGTCCTTCGTGAGCTCGCCCGTCGTGTAGCCCTCGCTCAGGACCTCGCCGTCCTTGTGCTTGTAGCCGCGGACCGACGCGTCGACGTTGCCCAGACTCACCAGGTCGCTCGCCTTCTTCGCGTGCCACATGCTCCCCTCCTCGTAGGCCTGGCTCAACGTGCCGCGCAGCTCCTCGTAGGTCGACGACTCCGACGCCTTGAAGGGCGCGTCCGTGTGCGACCCGCAGCCGTTGCACGGCTCGCACACCCACGCCGCGTAGTGGCTGCCGGAGTCGACGATGACGCTCACGCGCTGCGGCGGCGTGCCGACGTAGAGGTGCGTGTAGTGCGTGCTCATGCCCTCGTAGAGCTCCCCGCCGGCGGCCATCGCCAGGTCCCCGTTGTAGAGCACGCGCCGCGTCCGCGCGCCGGGGCTGCGGTGCAGGTCGAACTTTAAAAGCTCGCTCGACGCGACGGCGGCGCCGGCGACGAGCAGCGCGCCGCGCATGGCCGCTCCGCCTCGGCCGCTCCGCCTCGGCCGCCGCCGCGCAACAATACCCGAAGACGCGCGGCCACTCAGCCCCAGGGCTGCCCGAATTAGACGACGGCATGCGCGGTTCAAGGAGAGCTTTTGTTGCAGTCGATTCCTGCAGAGCATCTCTTGACAGCCAGTGGCATCGCGCGAAGATGGCTGCCTCCGACGTCGTCAAAGCGTTGCTAGCCGCCGTCTGCGCGCCGGACACGTTCGCCGCCGCCGCGACAGCCCTCGTCGCCTGCCTCCTGCCGCTCGCCGTCCCCCAGCACGTGCGGCGGGCGCCGACGATCGCGCACGAGGGCTGGGACTTCCCCGCGGCGATGCTCAACAACAAGTACGTGCCGTCCGACGAGCAGATCGTGCCCGCGTCGGAGCTCATGGCGTTCCTCGTCATCGTCCCCGCGGCGGTGATCGCGGTCCTCGCGTGCTTCGACGCGCCGAAGACGAGAAGCGCCGTCGCCGCCGCGCGGCTCCAGTCGCTGCTCTACGCCTTCGCCACGACGTCGCTGGTGGTGGACTGCGTGAAGCGCTACTGCGGCTACTGGCGACCCTACTTCTACGACGAGTGCGACTACGACGCGGCGACGGGCCGCTGCGGCGACACGCCCGACGACGCGATGCGCTCCTTCCCGAGCGGCCACAGCGCTTTGTCCATGGTGGTCATGCTCCACAGCTCGTACTGCTTGCTCGGGGCCGCGCGCCTCGGCCGGCCGCTCCGCGTCGGCGCCGTCGACGTCGGACCGCTCGCGGCGCTCGCCTGTTTAGCGCCCGCGTTCACGGCGCTGTGGATCGCCGCGTCGCGGGTCGTGGACAACGACCACTGGCCGGCGGACGTCACCGCCGGTGCCACGATCGGTGCGGCGTTC